ATGATGATGATTCTGCTGCTGATGATGATGCTGATGATGCTGCTGCTGATGGCGCTGCTGCTGTTGATGCTCATGATTATGATGGCGCTGCTGATGATGATGATGCTGCTGCTCATGATGCTGATGATTCTGCTGATGATGATGGTTCTGCTGACGACTGCTGATGATGATGATGTCTCACCAGTGAGCTCACACTGCTGCGCCGGCTGCTGTTGAGGCTGGACCCGGAATTCCCGGAATTCCCGGAATTCCCGGAATTCCCGGAATTCCCGGAATTCCCATGATCCCACGCATCAGCTTCCAGGTCCCCGAGCATTTCCCGAATCTTCCGAGCAAGCTCCATCCTCCACTCCTCTCCCAGAACGCCGGGGAAAGCATCCAACATTTCCAGAACTCCGGGATTCGAAGACGTTCCTGGAATTCCGGGAATTTTCAGAGATTCCGAATCCCAAGAGAGAGCTCGCGGGACTTCAGGTGTTGCCGGCATTCCCGGAATTCCAGAATTCCCAGGAATTCGAAGATTTCCCAGAATGGCACAATTCTCAGCATCTCCAGAATTCCCCAGATGTTCAAAATCTATCGGAATTCCCAAAGCCTCCGAGAACCCGGATTTTCCCGCAATCCCCGGATTTTCCGGATTTCCCGAGTCACCGGAATTCCCAGAATTTCCCGACATCTCCGTTTGGGAATTCTTGGAATTCCCCGAAACTCCATCGGGAATCTCCAAGCCCTCGCAGATTTCCTCCAGGACGGAGGTGGGAACGCGTCGCCGGGCCTAAGGGGGGGGTGGGTGGTGGGATAAATAAATAAATAAATAGATCGCGATAAAGTTAAAGGAGCAGCCCTGCAATGGTCTACGCTGATCCCAGAAGAATAGCGGTGGGGACAGACACCCAAACTTTAACCCACCCACACCACCGTGAACTCAGCCACACATCCACCGTGAACTCAGCCACACGGCCACCGTGAACTCAGCCACACGGCCACCGTGAACTCAGCCACACGGCCACCGTGAACTCAGCCACACGACCACCGTGAACTCAGCCACACGGCCACCGTGAACTCAGCCACACGGCCACCGTGAACTCAGCCACACGGCCACCGTGAACACAGCCACACGGCCAACGTGAACTCAGCCACACGACCACCGTGAACATAGAGACACGGCCACCGTGAACTCGGCCACACGACCACCGTGAACTCAGCCACACGGCCACCGTGAACTCAGCCACACGGCCACCGTGAACTCAGCCACACGACCACCGTGAACTCATCCACACGGCCACCGTGAACTCAGCCACACGGCCACCGTGAACTCAGCCACACGACCACCGTGAACCCGGCCACACGACCACCGTGAACTCAGCCACACGACCACCGTGAACACAGCCACACGTCCACCGTGAACTCAGCCACACGACCACCGTGAACTCAGCCACACGACCACCGTGAACTCAGCCACACGGCCACCGTGAACTCAGCCACACGGCCACCGTGAACTCAGCCACACGGCCACCGTGAACTCAGCCACACGGCCACCGTGAACTCAGCCACACGGCCACCGTGAACTCAGCCACACGGCCACCGTGAACTCAGCCACACGACCACCGTGAACTCGGCCACACGGCCACCGTGAACTCAGCCACACGGCCACCGTGAACTCAGCCACACGACCACCGTGAACTCAGCCACACGGCCACCGTGAACTCAGCCACACGACCACCGTGAACTCAGCCACACGACCACCGTGAACTCAGCCACACGACCACCGTGAACTCAGCCACACGACCACCGTGAACACAGAGACACGACCACCGTGAACTCAGCCACACGGCCACCGTGAACTCAGGCACACGGCCACCGTGAACTCAGCCGCACGACCACCGTGAACTCAGCCACACGGCCACCGTGAACTCAGCCACACGGCCACCGTGAACTCAGCCGCACGGCCACCGTGAACTCAGCCACACGACCACCGTGAACTCAGCCACACGACCACCGTGAACTCAGCCACACGGCCACCGTGAACTCAGCCACACGACCACCGTGAACTCAGAGACACGGTCACCGTGAACTCTGCCACACGGTCACCGTGAACTCTGCCACACGGCCACCGTGAACTCAGCCACACGACCACCGTGAACTCAGCCACACGACCACCGTGAACCCGGCCACACGACCACCGTGAACACAGAGACACGGCCACCGTCAACTCATCCACACGACCACCGTAAACTCAGCCACACGGCCACCGTGAACTCAGCCACACGGCCACCGTGAACTCAGCCACACGACCACCGTGAACTCAGCCACACGGCCACCGTGAACTCAGCCACACGACCACCGTGAACTCAGCCACACGACCACCGTCAACTCAGCCACACGACCACCGTGAACTCAGCCACACGACCACCGTGAACACAGAGACACGACCACCGTGAACTCAGCCACACGGCCACCGTGAACTCAGGCACACGGCCACCGTGAACTCAGCCGCACGACCACCGTGAACTCAGCCACACGGCCACCGTGAACTCAGCCACACGGCCACCGTGAACTCAGCCACACGACCACCGTGAACTCAGCCACACGGCCACCGTGAACTCGGCCACACGGCCACCGTGAACCCGGCCACACGGCCACCGTGAACTCAGCCACACGTCCACCGTGAACTCAGCCACACGGCCACCGTGAACTCAGCCACACGGCCACCGTGAACCCGGCCACACGGCCACCGTGAACACAGCCACACGGCCACCGTGAACTCAGCCACACGGCCACCGTGAACTCAGCCACACGGCCACCGTGAACCCGGCCACACGGCCACCGTGAACTCAGCCACACGGCCACCGTGAACTCAGCCACACGGCCACCGTGAACTCAGCCACACGGCCACCGTGAACCCGGCCACACGTCCACCGTGAACACAGAGACACGGCCACCGTGAACACAGAGACACGGCCATCGTGAACACAGAGACACGGCCATCGTGAACACAGAGACACGGCCATCGTGAACACAGAGACACGGCCATCGTGAACACAGAGACACGGCCACCGTGAACACAGAGACACGGCCACCGTGAACAGACACAGAGACACGGCCACCGTGAACACAGAGACACGTCCACCGTGAACCCGGCCACACGCCCACCGTGAACACAGAGACACGTCCACCGTGAACCTACCGGGCCGGCCACCGTGAACTCAGCCACACGACCACCGTGAACACAGAGACACGTCCACCGTGAACTCAGCCACACGGCCACCGTGAACCCGGCCACACGTCCACCGTGAACACAGAGACACGTCCACCGTGAACCTACCGGGCCGGCCACCGTGAACTCAGCCACACGGCCACCGTGAACACAGAGACACGTCCACCGTGAACACAGAGACACGTCCACCGTGAACACAGCCACACGTCCACCGTGAACACAGAGACACGACCACCGTGAACACAGAGACACGGCCACCGTGAACACAGAGACACGGCCACCGTGAACACAGAGACACGTCTACCGTGAACACAGAGACACGTCCACCGTGAACCCGGCCACACGCCCACCGTGAACACAGAGACACGTCCACCGTGAACCTACCGGGCCGGCCACCGTGAACTCAGCCACACGACCACCGTGAACACAGAGACACGTCCACCGTGAACCTACCGGGCCGGCCACCGTGAACTCAGCCACACGGCCACCGTGAACACAGAGACACGTCCACCGTGAACCTACCGGGCCGGCCATGATGAATCTGCGGTGAGTCCAGGCGAGCCAAGCTGCGGCTAGCGGCCTGCGGGCCCGGGCCAGCGTCGCCACGCCAACGGCGGAGGAGACGAGGGTCATGTGACTCAGCCTCCCGTCGCCATGGAGACAGAGCAGCTCCCTCCCACACACGGAGACCGAGCGGAGACCTGGGCGGGGCGGGGAGAGACGATGGCGGTGATGGTGGTGGTGGTGGTGGTGATGGTGGTGGTGATGATGGTGATGGTGGTGATGGTGGTGGTGGTGATGATGGTGGTGGTGATGGTGATGATGGTGGTGATGGTGATGATGGTGGTGGTGGTGGTGGTGATGATGGTGATGATGGTGGTGGTGATGGTGGTGGTGGCGATGATGGTGGTGGTGGCGATGATGGTGGTGATGGTGGTGATGGTGGTGGTGGTGATGGTGGTGGTGGCGATGATGGTGGTGGTGGCGATGATGGTGGTGATGGTGGCGATGGTGGTGGTGGTGGCGATGAATGGTGGTGGTAGCGATGATGGTGGTGATGGCGGTGATGATGGTGGTGGTGGTGATGATGGTGGTGGTGATGGTGATGATGGTGGTGATGGTGATGATGGTGGTGGTGGTGGTGGTGATGATGGTGGTGATGGTGGTGGTGATGGTGGTGGTGGCGATGATGGTGGTGGTGGCGATGATGGTGGTGATGGTGGTGATGGTGGTGGTGGTTTTAATGGTGGTGGTGATGGTGGTTTTAATGGTGGTAATGGTGATGGTAATGGTGATGGTGGACGTGGTGGTGGACGTGGTGGTGCACGTGGTGATGGTGATGGCGGTGGTGATGGTGGTGGTGATGTTGGTGGTGGTGGTGGTGATGGTGGCGGTGATGGTGGTGGCGGTGATGTTGGTGGTGATGATGGTGGTGGTGATGGTGGCGGTGATGGTGGCGGTGATGGTGGTGATGGTGGTGATGATGGTGATGATGGTGGTAGTGATGGTGATGTTGATGATGTTGATGATGGTGGTGGTGATGGTGATGGTACCTGGGAGGGAGGCGGAGGCGATGATGATGTTGCGATGAGGAGAGAAGATGAGAAATCCATCAGCAGAGCAGAGCAGTACCCGGCTCTTCCTGCACTCACACACACACGTGCACGTAGCCTGGTACGGGGCCCTGCGGTGCAGCGACCTGTGGGTGGTGCACCTAGCCTGGCACGGGGCGTGGTGCACCTAGCCTGGCACGGGGCGTGGTGCACCTAGCCTGGCACGGGCCTCACCCAAGAGGCAGGAGTTGGTGGAAGAGGAGCGACCGCAGCTGGGATGACGCTCGCACACTGCCATCCCTGCACACAGACACAGACAAAGGTCCCCCAGGTAGCCTCTGGCAGGGCAGTAGGGGCAAGTGCTGAGAGACACAGACAAAGGTCCCCCAGGTAAACTCTAGCAGGGCTGTAGGGGCAAGTGCTGAGAGACACAGACAAAGGTCCCCCAGGTAGCCTCTAGCAGGGCTGTAGGGGCAAGTGCTGAGAGACACAGACAAAGGTCCCCCAGGTAGCCTCTGGCAGGGCTGTAGGGGCAAGTGCTGAGAGACACAGACAAAGCTCCCCCAGGTAGCCTCTAGCAGGGCTGTAGGGGCAAGTGCTGAGAGACACAGACAAAGCTCCCCCAGGTAGCCTCTAGCAGGGCTGTAGGGGCAAGTGCTGAGAGACACAGACAAAGGTCCCCCAGGTAGCCTCTAGCAGGGCTGTAGGGGCAAGTGCTGAGAGACACAGACAAAGGTCCCCCAGGTAGCCTCTGGCAGGGCTGTAGAGGCAAGTGCAGAGAGACACAGACAAAGGTCCCCCAGGTAGCCTCTAGCAGGGCTGTAGAGGCAAGTGCTGAGAGACACAGACAAAGGTCCCCCAGGTAGCCTCTGGCAGGGCTGTAGGGGCAAGTGCTGAGAGACACAGACAAAGGTCCCCCAGGTAGCCTCTGGCAGGGCTGTAGGGGCAAGTGCTGAGAGACACAGACAAAGCTCCCCCAGGTAGCCTCTAGCAGGGCTGTAGAGGCAAGTGCTGAGAGACACAGACAAAGGTCCCCCAGGTAAACTCTAGCAGGGCTGTAGGGGCAAGTGCTGAGAGACACAGACAAAGGTCCCCCAGGTAGCCTCTGGCAGGGCTGTAGGGGCAAGTGCTGAGAGACACAAACAAAGGTCCCCCAGGTAGCCTCTGGCAGGGCTGTAGGGGCAAGTGCTGAGAGACACAGACAAAGCTCCCCCAGGTAGCCTCTAGCAGGGCTGTAGGGGCAAGTGCTGAGAGACACAGACAAAGGTCCCCCAGGTAGCCTCTAGCAGGGCTGTAGGGGCAAGTGCTGAGAGACACAGACAAAGGTCCCCCAGGTAGCCTCTGGCAGGGCTGTAGGGGCAAGTGCTGAGAGACACAGACAAAGCTCCCCCAGGTAGCCTCTGTCAGGGCAGTAGGGGCAAGTGCTGAGAGACACAGACAAAGGTCCCCCAGGTAGCCTCTGGCAGGGCTGTAGGGGCAAGTGCTGAGAGACACAGACAAAGGTCCCCCAGGTAGCCTCTGGCAGGGCTGTAGGGGCAAGTGCTGACAGACACAGACAAAGCTCCCCCAGGTAGCCTCTGGCAGGGCTGTAGGGGCAAGTGCTGACAGACACAGACAAAGCTCCCCCAGGTAGCCTCTGGCAGGGCTGTAGGGGCAAGTGATGTGTAGCGAGTAGCAGCGGCAGCGTCTATGAAGGCCGGCACTGAGGCAGTGGGTGGCCAGCACCAACTACTACTAACTACTACTACTAGTACTATAGTAGTAGTACTAGTACTATAGTACTAGTAGTACTATAGTACTACTACTATAGTACTACCACTATAGTACTACCACTATAGTACTACTAGTACTATACTACTACTAGTACTATAGTACTACTACTATAGTACTAGTAGTACTATAGTACTACTACTAGTACTATAGTAGTACCATAGTACTACTAGTACTATAGTAGTAGTACTATAGTACTAGTACTATACTACTAGTACTATAGTACTGCTACTAGTACTATACTACTAGTACTATAGTACTAGTAGTATAGTAGTAGTACTATAGTACTACTACTATAGTACTATATATACTATAGTACTACTACTAGTACTATAGTAGTAGTACTATAGTACTAGTAGTAGTACTATAGTATATATAGTACTATAGTAGTACTATACTACTACTATAGTACTAGTAGTATAGTAGTAGTAGTACCTGCACGAGTAGAGTGGAGTCCGAGTGAGTCCCAGCAGCAGTACTACTACTAGTACTATAGTACTAGTAGTAGTACTATAGTACTAGTAGTAGTACTATAGTATATATAGTACTATAGTAGTACTATACTACTACTATAGTACTAGTACTATAGTACTAGTAGTAGTGGTACCTGCAAGA